GGGGGGGGGGGGGGGGGGGGGGTATTTTTACGGTGCTTCAAGGCGGAGTTGAGGGTCTTTTGATTCGTCTAGTTTTACGGTGTGTTGTTGGAATGGTCGGGTGTTGGATGGTGAGTTTCGTATACATGTTAGTTTTCTCTATGGTGTTAGTACTATTTGTGACAGATGTGCAGTCCGAGTACCGAACTCCCAGGGAGTACCCTGTTTCATGGACTTTTCATGCAGCCCGAGTACCGAACTTTCTCCAAAATCACTTGCGTATATTTTATGCACCATCCAATTTGAAACCAATATAGTTTTAAAACTCATGATGATGAAACATTCAAAGAAACTATTTACATGTTTATAAAAATGGTTGTTTATAAAAATCCAGACGAAGGGAATGATAAAGCCAAAAGAGGCTGTACCGACCATTTTCCATAAGAAATGGCCGTAAGAGATTTTACATCCATACTTTCAGTAATCATAAAACGAATCATCGGAGAGGCCTAAATCCGGTGACCTTTCCCGTCTAGCCCTCCACGGGGCAAGGGGGGAGGGGGTCAATTTTTAAACGTACAGACCGCTATAACTTTTGAGTGAAAGAACGGATCAACTTGATCTTGGGCTCAAATGAAAGCTCTCAACAACGAGACCTTTCAATTCATGTATATTAAAGCCGTTTATGGTAGTTTTTCAATGTAGAAAAATTCATTGTTTGATTTTTCAAGTCCATAAAATGCAGTTTTTCGGGTTTTTCTGTATTTGGGACCGCGTGCAAGAATCATTACAAAAACCAATTCAAATGAAAGCCTTCGATTTAAGCTTTAAAGCGAGCTACAGTTCAAACTGAGGTCCGAAGCTCCTTCCACCTGAAGAATGACCAATCATTAGTGCAAATTTTTTTTTTTTTTCTAACGAAAAAAAGGAAATCAAAATAAATTAAATGCTAATAAACGATAAGACGCTGGCATACATTATTTTTTAAACCCCCCCCCCCCAAAGGGCCGGATTCTCCTACTTGCCGCCCATGGGCCGCCTGTATTTTGCCGCCCCCTTCTCATTCGTTTTGAAACATCAATAAAAACCATCAAGTGAACGTGCCGGAGGGGTAGGGGTGCATATGACGCGTTTATTCGTGTTGGACACATTTTTTGCGAAAGCCCTATGTCAACACTACCAGCAAAATTTCACGGAACTTTGCGCGAAAGTCAAGTTCCGTAAACCTATCTCTGTGTGGACAAGGCCTTCCATTTTTAAGAAATGAACGAAAAAATTATGAAAGAACAAACATAAATGTGGTTTAATAATTTTAACTTCCGCCGCCGCGCCGCCGAGCTGACCGCACCGTGTTTTGCGCAATGCGTGAAGTATTTCTACAGTCTTGTAGGCGCTATGCACACGGTTTCACGTCGACTGCTGCTGACCGCGCTGTTTTTGACGCAATGCGTGAAGTATTCCTCCAGTCTTGTAGGCGCTTTGCGTTTCATGTCGAGCGGTGCTGAACGCACTGTGTTTGATGCAATGCGAAATTACTGTGCTCTCAGGAAATGAGAGATTTTTTCGCCTATTCGCGTTTGTATTTTTTTCTGAATCCGATTTGCTTTATACCTTCACTTTAAAAAATCGCAAAATTTGCCGCAATTGAAGTGCGTAAATGCATTTGTCTTGCCATTGTTGTACTGTCATCAAATGGTTCAAATTAATGAAATAATATAATGATGAATTAAAAATAAATATGTAATGTAAAGGGAAGGGGGTAGGGGAAGGGAACACAAATTATGTATGATTTGTCACTATTTTAAGCTGTTTCATAATCCTCTGGATGTAAGTAACATAAAAAGTTTCCGAGAATGAATGAAATCCAAATGAAATCTCATGAAATTTTATCGTGAAATTTAACTTTGGATTAGAATCATTCATGAAATTTCGTAACCCTGAGTTTCTCCCTCCCAAAATGAAATAATCCCGCCGAACCCCCGCCATCTCGCGAAACGCAGCCAGCACTACAACCAACGCACCGGCATCAAAATTTTCTCTCTTTTCCCTGCCCGCCCGTTTCGAAGTTCGCAATTTTATTTGTAGCTCTGTACTATTCATGTAAAGCTGTGTATACTGTGTAAATATTTTTGCTCTTGGCCACGAAGCTCTTCACGAGAATTTCCTTTGTAACCGTCTCACAAGTGAGTAAGATAATGAATTTGTTTACATGTTGGTGGATTTTGAGGTTAGGCACCCCTCACCTATCAAGAAATAACGATTTTGAGAAGTAACTTATCAAGGTTTCACTGATGACACCTTTGATTTGTCATCATTTCAACCTTTATTTTTATCCTTACGACCATTCAAGAGCTCAGTGACACCTCCATGATTTAAAATTTTTTCTAATCTGGCGCTACTGGCTGGCTCGCTCTTGGAGGATAGCCGCCAGTTCTAGATCCTGCGTACAGTATGTTTGGGTTACTGATTTACAAATTACGGTAATAAAGCGGAAGTCAGATGATCAACTTTCAAATTGCTCTGGTCACGATTATCTATTCACATCTAATGCCTCCGCAATCAGCAGGAGTACCAACTGTTGATGCTCCATTCAGGAGTATATTTCCGAATTAAATTATTACCAGCTACGATAGTTATCCATTCAATTTCATATCCAATTTCCCTGCTCATAGAAAATAGCAAACTCTGTTGACCCTGAATAAGTAGGACATGTCATATATTGGCAGCGCCCTTTGAAGAACATACTTACTGAGGTTGTTACGGCAAGCCGACATCTTTAACAGAATTTTTCTCTCATTTCTTAAGTAGAATATTCTTGAAACTTAGCTACTCACACTTTCTAGTGTCTTTAGGTTATTTTTCACTCATGTATCCTTTTTGAATGAATGCCTATCGCCGAAAATACATCAAAGCATGTACTTATCTTCTCTTATACCTCTGTCCACCCCTCCCGCCTATGTGCATTATTTTACACGTCAGTTCTAGAACTCTAAAAATGTGCAAGTTCGCTTGCAACCTTAGGAATTTTATCCTATTTTTTTTTTTTCTTTCTTCAATTGTCTGAAAAAAAAATCATTATTCAGTTCAATTTTGCATAATCTCTGTAATGACTTTCGATATTTTTGAGAATTTAATTTAGAAAAGCTTTTACATTTTTTTCTCCAAAAATGAAGTTTTCGTGAAAATTTTGAAACTCTACCCCCGGAATAAACTTCATTTTCTGTTCATAACAATATGTCCAACTCATCCTGTGGCAGTGTTTAGCAAAATGTACCTTTTATTTGAATTGTTCAGTACAGCAAAAAAACTCATTTCGAATGAATAATACTTCAGTTTTCAATGCTGAACATTCTCAATCACTCTTGAGAGCATTCGGTCATAGTTTCATGCATTAGTACTTATTATTAATAGTATTACGTGCATTTTACCTGAATTGCTGTGAGGGGCAACAAATATGCAAGCAAACTGTAATATAGTTTTTTTAATCTCTCCATCTTAATTTCTCTAGCCTTAAATTGAGGTATTGGATGCAAATAGAGCACTTCTCGGTTGCAGCGTCTCAGAGTCTCCTCTAATATTTCATTCATTGTTAGGAAAGTGAATGCATCCATTTCACGAAGAATTCTACTGAATATTCCTTATGGTTTTACAATTTTATATGGAAATAATTCTGATAAAATTACCCATTAAGTATGTTCTTCTCCAAGAAATTAATTAGCAACAGAGATTCTTAAACACAGAAATTGAGAAGTACCCTTTTCGCATTTAGTGCTTCAATTGCTGTCGAAGGGTCAATTTTTGGACTCTCTGAATGTTTTCTCAGCCAAATGATGCAAAAACCCCTCTTAGCTGTGGTACAGTGGTCTCAATCCCCCCCCCCCCTCCCCCCACCGGCGTACTTTGCCGGACTAGATGTATACATTGCGAAGTAGCTATTTTCTATAATTTGTTTCTTGAACTCTTGTTTTTTCTAGTGGAACGTGAACCAGGCAAAAGGCGCATCAAACCATCTCAGAATTTTTTAGATTTTGAGGACTTGGGAGAAAGCTCTGATGATAGTGATTTTCGAATCGAAGATCATGAAAATGGTAGTGATGATGACTCCAATTTCGACTCAGGTACATAATTTTTATCCTATCAATTTTTTCAATGTTCTCTCTGCTCTTTCTTCTATTTCATCTCCTCTAGTCTCCCTCCAAAGTCGGAAAGTTTGTGTAGTGTCTGGACGATTTCCTGATAGGTAGATAGCGTTACGGATATTGTTCTGAACATCATTCAAGAATATAATGTTGCCCCTGGCAGTTTGTACTGCTTGGTAAAGCAGGCAAAAAATTCTAGTACATAAATGGGTTAAAATTCAAAAAAACAACACAAAATAATAAATACCAATTGTTTCACTCCGTCAATAATATTGACTGGACCCATAGCTAGGTTAGCCATTTTAATGTCTCACCCCTGGAAAGTCTCTTTAAGCTGTTGTACTTTTCCTACTGCCAAAGGTCTCATTGTTTTTGATTGATTATTCTGCCTCTTCCAGATAAAAGCAGCGATTCTGGGCCGGACTCAGGCTCTGATGATGAAGACGATGATGAAGATGGAGATGAAATCAAGGATTCCAAAAAGTCGAAGGGAGAATCATTGAGCGTGAATGATGTTCTATCGCAAGCAGAGAAGTCGAAAATTGCCAAGGATGTTTCAAAGATCATCATTTGCTGTGTGTGTCTGGGAGAGCACAGTAGCGATCAGAATGAAATCATCGAATGTGACTGTTGTGGAGTTACAGTCCACGAAGGTGAGCTCCGCAAGACACAGTAATTATAGAGGATTCTGTAAGAAAAGCTCATATAGAAAAATTTCGCCTCGAGAAAAATGCACTTCAACTTTTCACTATTGTATTCAGATTGCTGAGGATGGCTCAAATTGGAACTTTGTCTTTAGATCAAAGTTTGTACATTTTGAAACTGAATTTAGCCAATAGTAAAACGCAGTCACCTTCAGGTGTTGTCGGAGGAATTTTTCAAAAGTTTTGGTCTTGAGCCTCCTTCTAATTTTAAAAAGAGGGCGTATGACAAAAACTTTTTGAAAAATTCCTCCTTTGAAAATTTTATATGGACTAGGAGTTCATAGATTTTGGTGAGTTTTTTAGCATGCTACATGATGGAAGATATCAATAGGGGTAGAAACTAAATCCACAACATAGCATTGATGATACACTTAGTGGTAGCCTACAAAAGACATGCCTGACAAAGTATTACAACATAATTTACACTTAACCAAAGGTTAAAAACAGTTAGAAATTTCTTCTGTGATGACGTTTACAGATTTCATAAAAATAAAAAATAGTCGTCACATAATAAATGTCAATAAATATTTGTCACAAGTGAGTTTTCTAATCGTTTTTATCTATTATTAACTTTAAATTTAAGTCTTCCTTATTACAAGCTTCTCAATTATATGTCAATGTCTACCTATTAGAATAAGTGACTCTAAAAGCTATTCTCAATAATTCCCAGGTTGCTACGGAGTTCCAGACGCTACCAGTGTTTCGAGTTCACACTCATCTTGTTCCACGGAACCGTGGTTTTGCGAAGCATGCCAAGCAGGAGTGGATAATCCAGTTTGCGAACTTTGTCCTAACATAGGTATGTAAAAGCTTCTCTTATCTTAGTATCTTAATATATCTTAGTAAAGGACAAATTTCTGGGAGTGATAGGGACGCATATTGTTTGAAGTAATAAAGGAGTATCGAGGCAATTGTATGCTCGGCTTTACTAGGATCATTTACTAGTTCTAAAAAAACTGTAGGACTTTAAACATTGTGGGTACTTATGGTAAGCCCCAGACTGCAGGAACTTACAAGTCATCAACTCCTGGTGTTATGTGTTGTATTGAATAAAATTTAACCACCGAAAAAAAAAAAATAATGAGTAAGATTGATGTGATACCTGGTCTTTTAGACAAGCATTATTTAAATTTCCTTGAAACTCATTTAATGACTGAACACTTGAGAAATTGGTGGTGAAAAGGGCACCTTGCAGTTTCAATATTTCTCAATATCCTTTTACTTTTTTACTCTTAACAGGGTAAAATATGCTTTACTTTATGTTTTACTTTTTTTGAATAAAATATCTTATCTTAGAGAGAAAGAAATTTAACTGAATATTCTCTGTAATTGAATCATATTTAAAGCAGAAATCTCAAGTGTAATGATCCAGTCGTTTCTTTTTTTCCTCAGAAAAAAAGAAATTGTTAGTAGCGATTCTAAAACACTGGTTACAGAAAATAGCCCTTTCCGCACCCAAGTCCTCAACTTTAAGGAGATGGTATCGTTTTTTGGATCCTTTACTACAGTCAATGATAATTGAGCCAAACAAAGTACAAACAGAGAAGCTCTTCTTATGTGTACTGGACTTCCCCGCCAAAAAACGATACCAGCAAGAATTTTCTATGCCTACTCATCTCAAATTTGTGCGACTAATCTGCTCAATTGATCGACGATATTTTCTTCAATGAATCTGTCATGATTGCCCACTCTTGAGTGTCAGGAACAGTCTATAAAATTTTTCTCACATTCACATCAATGGTAGAAATAACATTTGAAGTCAACATGTTATGGATAGTGATCGAAGCAGGAAACGTTGCTACTATTTTTTTTATTTGTTTCAGGCGGTATTTACAAAGAGACAGATGTTGGAAAATGGGTCCACTTAGTCTGCGCTCTTTACATTCCGGGTGTTGCGTTTGGCGAAGTTGACAAACTGAGTAATATCACTCTTTCTGAGTTACCGTTTTCAAAATGGGGCTCAAAGGTCTGCCAACATTGTCAAGATTCACGTTTTTCCCGAACTGGTGTTTGTCTCCAGTGTGATGCAGGAATGTGCAGGGCATATTTTCATGTAACATGGTAAGTGATCAATTTTAGAATTTCTCTCATGTTTACGGAGCATCCTGTGCCTGAGATGTATCTACAACTACATAGTGAGACATTTTCTGCACATAGAATGCCTTTATTATGCTATGCTTTTTATGATTATCCGGAAAAATCAGTAACCCTCACAGTAAGTCCTTGAGTCAATACCGAAATTAGAGGGATTTTCGTTAAAACACTAGTATCTTGAATCGTAGCCCAAACTTTCCTTGAGTAATCGAACCAGCAAATTTATTCTTTTAAGTTTTTTTTAAAAAAAGATGTGGAATTGTATAATTCTTGTTCTTTTAGATAATAACTGTATCATTATTCTAACATTAATTTTTATTTTTAATCAATTTAAGTCCTGTGGATAGTTACAAGACATATCCTCTTAGAAGGTAGTTACGTTATTTTTAAATGAAATTTGTTTTTGAAAAAAATACTATCTTCTTTTTTTGGCATGAAATAAAAGTTAAAAGCATATTCTCCCTCTATTGTTGTTTGTAGAGGCGTATGATGTTGCTCAATTAGCAAGTTTTGTGCTCTATTGTGATAATTTATCAGCTTTTGCACACCTCAGTAGAGAGCGACCAAGACTCCGTGTGTTTTAGTGTTTTTTATTGTTGTTGAATGAAGGCTTCAGCGTTTCTTGACTTTGTTTTTTTCCTTTTTCATGCTCGCAAAAGTGGTCAGAGAGAAGGACTTCTTACTGAAGCTCCTGCAGAAGAAGCCGACCAGGCAGATCCTTTCTACGCTAATTGTAAACTTCACTGTGATAAAACTCAAGCCAGGTAATGATTATCCTTGAATTCTTGCTTTTGATTTCCTTTTGTCATAATGCTGAATAGCCTTCTGTGAAATGGATCGAGCGTAAAAGAAACGCACCAAGTTGCATCTAGCTTAGGCCAAAGAAAAAGGTTTAAAGTTTCATTTTTCATTAAGATTTAATGTTCAGGACACAGTTTAACATTTTCCCTGATGTTTAAAATAGTTTTTCTCAATTTCGAACTTTTGACCAAAAAAATTATGACTGGTTGAATTCAAAACTACATATTCCCTACTAATTTTTTTGCCAAAACGCAACTAAATGTATTTCTATTAAACTCGGCCCAATCAAATGTTCAGTTTGGGACGTCTCATCTCACAATTCCAAAATTTTACCTCTCATTGGAAAAGAATGACCAATTGTGTTTCAAATCTTTTCAGTGTCAGATTTCCCTCTTTTTTGAGACTATCCCTCTGAAGAGGGGCATTAATGCCAAAAAACGAATTTGCTAGGATGTTGCTACTATGCTTAGAGGAGTGTTTAGCAAATATTTTGATGATAAATAAACGCCTGTACATGTCAAACCGGAGTGGAATTGTAACAATTTGGTTTGGCGCAATGAGACTAAGTCTCAAGAAAAAGCTATTCAAAGTTTACTCCTGTGGTTTACTTCGGGGCTTAAAATAGTAAGAACCAAGTGCAGCTTGACAATCCTTGCTAGCTGTGAAATTGAACTCAACTCCTTGCAAGTTTTCGTTTGGAATATCATTCAGATATTGTTGAGATATCAATAAGTATGTTGCGGCAAAAACTCGGACTTCGATTTTTCAACTTACCATGACGAAAATAACACTATCAAATTATCTGTCTCCGTGCACACAGGTCTCTTTTTCTGCAACAATCACATTACAAACTTTGTCGGATCTACCATTTACGCTTTCTATTTGCCACGCCTGATCCCTTTAACGGGGTTACTGGTTGCATGTATTAACATCTGAAGTATTAGTATTTAGTGGATTTTATTTAAAAGAGTCTAGTCAAAAAAACATATGACTCTATCTACCTAATACAGTGTTCTCCAAAAATTAAATTGGATTTATATTTGTGTATTTCAGGTCTAAAAAAAGAAACTGGATGGCGCTTCAATTTCGCACAAACGAAATACGGAAGCAGAACCGAGAAGAAGTCGTTCAGAATTGGGAGCGAATTCAACGCAAATTAACCAAATATAGGAGCTCTTATGCTGTAGCCAAGGGAAAACAGCCGCAACCATGGAGTAAGTCTTTTGTTTTTCTACTAGGAAAAATTATGTTTAAAAGCGTTTGAAGTACTGCTCTTGAAGTTACCGCTTCAGCTATGGTTAACTTGTATTCGCAAGGAGAGGTCATGATGATCTCCCATTGCTGAAACAATCCTTGATTTTATTTTATGGGACTGAGTAATATTTTATACCTATTGCAGTTTTTAGTTGGATTGAGCTTAATAAAAACACGCCAACTTGTATTGTAGAAAAAATTAGTGAGAGTAATTTAGAATGCAACCAATGGTACATCTTCTCTCGTAAACAACACGAAGTCGAGGAAAAATATTTTCAACTTAAAAAAAGCTATTGAACTTTGTCCTAAGCATTGAGTTTTATGAAGGAATAAAATTTCAAACCTCATCAGGATGTCTACCATTAGTAAAAACCGGAAAATATCAGGAAAATGTTAGGAAAATTGGTCATGGAGGAGGAAATTCTGAGTACATTAAACAATTTTACATTTGATTTAAATAATTACATTTGTTGGTCTGTAAAATCAAATAAATGTCAGTTTATTTGCGCAAAAAATTTGGAAAATTAATTTACAATTTCAGGGAAATATCAGGGAAACCCAAAACAAAATTTTAGTCGACACCCTGCAGTCATTTTCTCGGTTCAAATTTTATTCCAGTTGGTGCGTTTCTGTTTTTCTTGGTCTTATTGCTATCGGTACAGTTAAAGTCCTATTTTTTACCGAAGTAATGGTAAACGGTTAGGAAAAAATGTTTTGTGCAACACTTGATCATTATAATTATGTACAATATACATTATATTTTCAGTTCCCACCCAAAAAAGACCCAGAATGCTAACTTCAAGTGCAAATGCTTGCCGTCTACTGTGGAAGAAAGCGGAATGCATGGGAATTGATACCGCAACTCTAGAAGCAATGGATATGCACATTGCTTCTCTGATGGATGTGCCCAAAAAGTGGCATCTTCAGCCAGCGTTTAGGTGAGTTTCTGGGAGGTTTCCTCCGAATATCCAGCAACATTATGCTTCTATGTGTTTATCTTTCATATCAATGGCTAGATGTGAAGAAAGCGTATCCAAATTGCCACGTTTGAATAACTTACAATTAACTATGTGAGCAGAAACTCACAATGTTGCAATCTGAGACACACAGTTTTTGGCTTTTTCCATTGATATGTGTAGTGTATTTAATATTTGCCTACATTAAGGTCTGTACGAAAATCAATTCATCCATCAGACGATTAATTTGTAATGAAATTTTTAGAGAAATCAAGAATATGTTTACAGTAATTTATCACTCAATCTATAAGTAACAGTTCACTTTTATTTCAATAGAGAATATTGTAAGCATTTATCCTTTTATTTTGAATTAATTCTCAAGTGTCATCGTAAGACTTGTGAAATTTTAATGAGAAAACATACAGTGTTTACTTTTATCACACTTTTTCCCCGGATTCATTACATCAATGAGTGATAATTCTTTCGTTGGTTGGTTTTTTAATAAAGTTTTGTTTTGTATATGCCAGTGTCGAATTCGTGGGATACTACCTGGATAGAAATAGCAGGATAGACTCTCTCAAGAAACAATTGGCAACGACTGTTGAGACGAATAGCAAACTAATCAAACAGCAAGAAAGTATGCAGGTGCAATATGATCAGGTAAGTTGTACAAAGCAAAGCTGAAAGTACTGTAGATTTTTTGCATGTGCCTGAAACCGCATTTGAATCGAGACATGCAAGAGGGCGGAAGTCCAAAAATTCAATTTTTCAGGAGAAGCATAAAACTTCCTGTAAGGTTAACAATTCAAATAAAAAAAAACGAAAAATATTTCCTATTGCGGAAAGCTTGTCCCGGTTGTACTAATAAGAATTGAATCTCCTAAAAAAATTTTGAACCTGCTTACTACAGAAAAAAAAGGTCCACTAGAAGTCATCGAGGTTTTACTGTAAACTATTCGACTACTTTGATTTCAGTCTTAACTGTAGTCTCATGAAGTTTTTGTTCTTTTTCAGGCTGTCAAAGCAAATGCAGACATAGTTTCCAAAAATAAAGCTTTAAAAGAGATTCTCCAAACATATCATAGCGTAATCTCGAATGTCTGTCCGACCAAAAAGCTGCCTGATCTGGAAATCCTGTCTAGACCCGTCGCAAACGTAGAAGTCGCTAGTGCTCAATCAGCGAATGCGAAAGGAACCATGGGTTACCCGCTTGGTTTTGTGAAACAGGCGGTCATCAGCAAAAAGGCTCACCAGCTAGCGCCCATCCCAGATACTCCAGTATTACTCGATAGCAAGTGTGGAATTTGCCACAAGTCTAACGATCAGCATCTTCTAGCGAAATGTGATACGTGCCATCTGTATTACCATCTCGGATGCTTAAATCCACCTTTAACATGTATGCCAAAGAAAACTAAGCTTTATGGATGGTAAGTTTAATCATTATTGTTTTCATGAAAATTATATCAGAAATCTCGTTCTCTGGTTTCTTTATCTCGTTCACGGTGTTCAAAAATCCTTACTCCCATTTTATTTTTTTAAAGGAGAAAAAATCAATACTATTCCTTGAAATTTTTCCTAGAGAAGAAAAATGACAAAAGTTTTCAGGGACTAATATTGAGTAGTTTTCCTTTAAAAAAATAAAGTATGACAGGAAGTCTACAACATTGTAATCCAAGATATGTGATCTAGTAGTTTTACTGTCATTATGGTGATCTTGCGTTTGTCTGAAATTTGATCTATTTCATGTTTAAATGGAAACTAGTGCATGAACTAAGTACGTGAATATCCTCAGTTTCTTATCGGAGAAGATGTGACAAAATGACTTGTTCTGCTATTCTTGTGTTAAAGTGGGAAATGCTGCCTTATAACATCACAAGATAGCACATTTCCTCACTCTTAAATCAATTTTTCTCCAATTTTCTGTATCAGAAATAAATAAACAAAAAAAATAATAATACTTTGAACACAGCTTTATAAGCCCTCTCGTGTATGAAGCAATCATAGTTTTTGTGCAAATTTTCTGTTCGAAAAAGAGATAAATTAAGCTTCCAAAGCAATTTCAGAAAAATTTACTGAAAAATGTTCTTAATCTATCAATTAAAAATTCATTAAGCTTACTAAAATCCAGTGCACAAATGTAATCAAAACACGTTTAAAACAGTAGAATGTAAGACCTGAATTCCTGCGTTGTTCCTCTTAAATTTAATGTGTCTTTTATTTTTCCTTTCCTAAGGCAATGTTCCGAATGTGATAAAGATTCCTCCGGCTCAGAGATGGAGAACGTAGACACAGAGGCTCCGCGCAAACTTAGGCAAATAATCAAAGACAACGACAAGCATAGTCAGTTCCTTGAATTCAGCGATACCTCAAAAACGGCCACTCCAGCCAGCTCAGTACCTGGCTCGCCAGAGGCGAGCAACAAGAAACCGGCCAATGGCGTTTTAGAAGCTGTTAGTGGGGGCGTTAAAAGGAAGAAGGTTAAGCAACGAAATGACAGTCTCTCGTCTCCGAACTCTGTAGATGCGACTCAGAATACAAAACCACGCAAGAAACGGAAACGCATGGAAAGCAGTGATGTCGATGAGTCTCCGCAACAACCTAGACAACATATTAAAATTCTGGTGAGTGTCCTGTGATGAACATGGATTAATTGGATCACATTTCGCAATGAGGAACCACTTTTCCTGGCTTTTCCCTAAAAGCACCTTCCTGCAGAGGGAAACCTATGGCTTAAATGTTGTTTCTAAAATGAGCGAGAAATAGTGGTTCCTTATTATAAAATGTGGTCCAATTTAGGTACTGGGTAAGTGGTTTATTCTACTGGGCATCAAAAGAAGTTTTGTCAAAATCTCAAATCTTCATTCTTTGTCCTGACTTATTAGAATTTTTTCCCCTGAAAAATTTACCTGTATGCATTATGATTTATATTCTTTTGGGCAGTCAAACGTTTGACTGATTAAGCTGTTTCTGGCTATAATGCTCTTCAAAGCTAATGTCATACACCAAGTAATATGTTGTTCCTGATTTCTGTAGTCTGAGAAACCTTTTACCTAAAACTAGGACGAAGATGTTGGAATCATGCCATTGCCAGCGGTGCTTGCCTCTGTGAACTGAAGCACCCATTACTTAGGGAAAAAACTCATTTTGAGCAAATTTAAAGCATTCTAATACATGTTTCTTAACCAAAATCGCACACTAAACAGGATTGGATCAACAAAAATTATTGAAGTTAATACCTAACCAAGATATCAACATTTTTATTTTGTATTGGTCTCTAAATATTTGAATTCCTCGCTCACAAGACAACAATACTCTGCTTGAATCAAATCTGGCCGTCCAAAGATCTGGGTAAGCCTCTCAATCGAGTAATGTTCCCTCCATGCCCTGTGTTGTTCAAAACGTTATAAACTTGCAGCTGCTGAGTTGAAGCATCGAGATTGAGTTTCCCATGTTTTGATATCGCGGACACTGTTACGGTAACGTTTGATGCACGATTTGAATCATTTAGACTTTTGTTTTTCATGAATGGAAGGTTTAAATTTACATGTTGAAAAATTGTAATTATCTTAGTAAGGACTTCATTCAAGTAATTTTCGTTGCACAACGCGTGTTTTATGTGAAATTTTGGTCAAGGTACATGTATTAGAATGCTTAAATTCCTACCTTTTCCACCGGTCCATTGCGGAAAATCAGTGCAGCATAGCCTCCTGATTTTCTGCTTCAAAGCTCCGTGAAGTCTTTAAAACAAAGCTGAAGTTTGGGCTATTGCTACAAGCAATCTTACTACTATTTGTATTCATCATCATTTTAGGAATTGAAACACTGAATTTTCAATTTTTCGTTTTGTCTTTTCAGATCAAATCCATCCCTAGCAGGGAAGGCAATGCGACCTCTCCACAGCTGTTTGTTGCATCAGCAAACAGTTCCATTTCTTCTCTGCAGTCTTCTCCTGCAACGTCAATTGCACCCTCAGCGCCTGTGATACCGGTTGTGCCTGCTCGACCTGCAAGGCAACCAAAACCAAAACCTGAAAAGAAAATCGAACAGATGAATGATTGTGATACTTGCTCCGGAGCAGGGAACATTACAAATATGGTCAGGTAAGAATAACTGTTTTACTTAAATGGGGCACTAGATCATTGTGACTGGAACAAGAAAGGATTATCAGGGAATGAACGATTTCAGGGAAAATCAGGAAATCTGTTCCAGGAACTAGGAATCTCTTCTTCTAACGTTCAGAGACTAATTTCTCCTTTAACTTCATTTTAATTTTCTTCTAGTTACTTCTTTACTACAGTCATTTGCCGAACATTTATGAAAAAAACACTGAGTTTGTTTGTGTACAAAAATAAATTGTTGTGAGAAAATTTTCAGTGCTTATTGTTATTAAGGTGTATTTTATTGCACCTGAGCAGCCATAATTGAGCTTTTGAACTTACAAATCATCAGAATATTAGTGAATTTTCCCTTGACCAGATAATAGAAAAATCAAATGCTTTTGAGATTAAAAATTCGAATATGTGTTAAAGAATCGACTTAATAGATGAAAAGGAATGGATATTCATATTTGGAGCTGGGGAGAGTTGTATCATTTTTCTCCAAGAAAATCCTGGCAAAGTTGTAGAATACTTTAATTCCTCATCCGGTAAAGAGCTCCTGAAAATCAGGAAAAAATCGGGGATTGAGAATGATCAAGAATTCTAGGCACCATGTCATGATTCTTGCAATGCTGATTGCTTTAAAAGCAACAGAAAATAATACCTTTATGCTTATTTTTCTGTCATCTTGTTCAGCTAAACAAATGATGGATGTAAATACCAGGAGAGCAACGCCCTTGAAATAGTAAAATAAATCATTAATCATTGAGTCGTCAGGCAATTAATTTTCACTCAGGCAATATTCGAATGGTTTTTAGTGACCAAGAAAACAAGGAAATTCAAACAAGACAAAAATTTCAATCAGAGTAAAAACTTTTGAGCTCTAATTCTCAACGCATCTGCCTGAGCTGAACACTCTTCCCCCTCAATCTTGTACTAATACTCATTGGAGCTCGTAAATTTTTGAATCCAATTGAAACTGTGTAACTTTTTGGACTTGCTTGCTCTGCAAAATACCTTGAGCCCAGCGCTATTTTACCACCTTGTTACATATAGTTTTGGCCACATTTTCATAGTTTTTCTCTAAAAATTTAATCGATACACTCTCTGAATTCTTCAGTATGTTTCTGATATTGTATGCAGTAACGTAATAATTTAACTCTGCATTTATGTTTCCAGTTGCGATGAGTGTAAAAGGTGTTTCCACTTTGGCTGCCTAGACCCGCCCGTCAAAAAATCTCCCAAAGTCCGAGGATACTCATGGCATTGTGCGAACTGTGATCCAACGGTAAGAGTGAATGTTTTTTTGACTTTCCATTTTAACCTCTTTTTGTCTGTATTTTAAAGCGAATTTTCTCTCCGCTCAAACTTTTCTACAAATCCCCTGCTAAAAAGGTGGTAATGATTGTTCTTTTGTTGATCGTCCCAATTCAAAATTATCTTAGAGATACCATTTTTTGGTATGCTGTCATCAAGCTTACTGTGGTCTACCAAAAAATTTTCTGTGAATTAGATGTCAAAGTTGCAACTGTGAGTTGGTACCAAAGTTAGAACAATCGAGAGACACAATAGCCCAAATGCAGACAACAATAAAAACACACTAAAATACAAAAAACAAATGGGTAACAATGGTAATTGGCCCGAAACGTCCTGGTTGTTTTATGTCTCCTCTAGCCTTGTATACCCATTTTTTTTTTTTTGTATTTTAGTGTGTTTTTATTGTTAGAACAATCTTTGATTACTTCTATCCGCTGTTTTTTCATAATTTAGTTTTGTCTTAAGATTCACTAAAACTTAACACTGCCATAATTATTTTCTATGGTGGCTCTAGTGTTCATGTGTTGGTCTGTTGAAATAAAAGAAGCTTTGACACAAGCAGTTTGTAGTATCTATAATGCATTACTCAGAAGGGCAGAAAGTTTCTGATCAGACTATATCTTGCATCTTTTTTAAGATTTATCCCCGAAAATTTGAAACTGTGAATGTTTGACACAAAATCATGAGAGCAGTTTTAGAGTCGGGAAAAGGGGAAATATTTCGAATTGAGTATTTGTAATTTTGATTGCACACTGCAACTTAGTATGTTCTTAACTCAGTGCTCAGGTCGAGTCATATTAAATATATACCGCGTAAACGGATTACATAATATGTAGATAAATTAGAAAAGAAAAAACATAATTTACGACTTACTTGCACTCTAAAATTCTTTCTAAAACAACTTTTACTTAGGATCGATTCCAAGCATGTAGCTCATCCTCAGCAATATCTAATTGCAACCTATAAATCGTTTTAAAAATAATTTTAATGTGCAGGTGAGGCCTAAATTAAATGTTTTTTCTTCTTTAATTGAGTTACATTGCGCTTGCGATTACTCTTTTCCATGAAAAACTGCGTAAATGTGATGTTTTATTATATGACCTATGATGTTTAATGAAAACTCCCCCAGAGTCGATTTGATTTGACTATGATTTGATGCATCTTTGCTCATCCAACTTGCCTTTAATTGAAATGGAACAAAACTGCCTATAGTCTGTCCCAGATACGAAGAGCGCTGGAAAATCGGAATAATTAGCACTATTTGGCAGGTTGGGGTGCCTCGACCCTCGTCACCTGTCATCTCGTCGCCTCTCACATGCGTCGCACAGAGGGTCGCAAGCCACCTTGAGGCAACGCATACTCCCTTCGCATCTCCAGACCGGGATAGGCGATTTAAATCCCTGATTATTGACATTATTCGTCGCTCCTCTGACCAAAGGTTTTACCTCCATTTTTACGTGAGCTCCGAAAAGCATGAAGCTACATAGGCAACTGCAGGCCTCACGTGAAAATCGATGTATGCCTTAGCGTCATAGGAGCCACGAAATGTGGCTGAATAGCGGCATTTCTATACGCGTAGCTTCAAATATTCTTTTGATTATTTGTTTTCTGGTCTGTTCCCAGATTTTGGTTCCAAACGCTTAAATTATTAAGAGGAAGAATGTGAGAGAACGAAGTGGAGGGGGGGGGGGGGCTCAAAATTTGGTGGCCCTGAAAAGGGCCGTTTTCGACGAGGCTCAAAGATTAATAAAATCTTGAGCATAAGGTAGATGATTACTGTTGTGATCATCTTTCTCTAAGGGCAGGAACCCAACTCCGAGGGTGTAGCCGTCTTCTTGCAGGAAACCTGCGACGCTTTCGTCCATTATTTCGTCTTCTGCTTCGTCATCAGATTCAGACCAATCAGATTCGTCATCGTCATCGTCATCAGCGCCTAGATGGATCAAAAATTGTTCTACTTCTTCATCCGCCAATCCTTCTCGTTCCCAGGCAGCCTCGACTTCTTTCTTCACATGCTGGACGTAAGATTTCCAGGCCTCGGTAGAAAATTTTTCAACAGCCTCCAGGAAAAGCTCTTTGACATCACCAAGCTTCTGTGTTGTGTTCCGCTTTTGGACATAGCCTTTTAGCCATGCCCACGCCATCTCAATAGCATTGAAATGGCAGTGATATGGCGGTAAACGTAGAACTTTGAATCCTTGAGCTTTAGCTTCTTCATCCAGAACGTATTGCGGCTTCGGTGGTTTGGTTCGTCGAACTAACTCCAAAAGTTCGACCTTCCGCATGCTTTCAGAGCATGGCACGTTGTGGTTCCGCAGCCACTCTATTATGACAGCTTTCCTCGACGATGTTGTGGGAGGTTTGTCCTTGACGCGTGAATGGTATGGAGCGTTGTCCATAATAATCGTGGATCCGGGTTCAAGAGCTGGAAGTAGTGTCTGCAGAAACCACTTTTCAAATGTTGCTGCATTCATCTCCTCGTGGTAGTCACCCGTCTTCTTCGAGGAAAATATCAATGGAGGTGCAGGTATCCATCCTGTGCTACCTCCAGCATGACAAATTATCAGTCTCTCTCCTTTCCCCAGCTTGGGATCGCTGATGTGTGCTTTGACGGTACCATCTGAAATACCGTGGGTCGAGCAGGTGTTTTTATTGATCCATGTTTCATCCAGGAAAATAACTTTTTCCCAGTCGATCTTCAGGACAGAGCGCAAGAAGAAACACCTCGCCAAAGCAATTGCTGGTTTCTCCATGAGAACGACGCGATTGTTCAGCTTTCTATAGGTAAAACCTAGTTCTTGAAGAAGGCGGTGAAGTGCAGATCGTGAGCTTTTGTAAAGGTCAGCTTCAGCCAGAGATTTCAGCAGCTTATCCAACGTCGGCACATTTTTATCACGGTAGTAACCGTATATATGCCTCCGAATAGCCTCGGCATCAAAGTCGTCTACTTCCTTGCCTTTCTTCTTATGCGTCTTCCCAGGTGTTGAAAACTTCGGCTTTTTCTGAGACGCCACAAGCTCGGATTCCTTCTTGATTCTTCTGACAGTACAATATCCAATATCTAGCGCTTGGGCAGTCCTCTCCAAGACTTGGTTGATGCCCAGTAAGGGTCCGTTGTTCTGCTTCTCCTTTTCGAAGTACTTGATAACTCGAGCGACAAATTCGCGAGCTTGCGAGTGGAGCACTTGCCTCTTCCCACTTGTTGCTGCCATCGTCCGGTGGTGTTGCTCCAGTAAAGTTCAGAATGCGAGTGCGAATTAAGCACAGAAGGGACTGCGTTATATCCCTTATTGATTGATTACCACCCACCAATAAGAAGCTAGATAGTGTTCGTCTGAACTAACGCGATGCACGAGGCCGGTTTTCCCCGGGACCCAGGAGCGGATTCCCGACGCAAGGCGCCGCCGCGCCGCGGAGCTCGTAACCAGCCCTCTGTGCGGTGCGGGGTTGGCTCGGTCATTAGACGGGTATCAATAGAACGAACGATACCTTGCTTCTACATCGTGCAAATTATTCCGATTTTCCAGCGCTCTTCGTATCTGGGACAGACTATAGGCGCAGCTTCACAGACAGGACAAAAATAGACGCAAAATTAGATGCATCTAAGCTTTAATACTGCATATGCGTCTTGCAAACATTTTTCTTTGGTGTAAAAAAATCAAATTATCAATGAGATTGTCACTTTGTCTGTGGCTGAGTGAGTTGGGCTGATGAGAACTTGACTTTCATAGTTGTAACTACATTTTGCAATGAAAAACTACAATTTTTAACTCATCCACATGAACACTATCTCCATGAAGAAACTGATGGAAAATATACCATTTTTAAAATGGGTAATAGACAGTAGTCCCTAATTGCAAAATGCAGTCCAGTCGCGACTGCCACTCTAATCTCAGGTTGTCCTATTGTGCTAAGGAAAAATTCCTCATCAACCTTTAGGCGTTCCTGAATTTCCCCAAAATAAAATAAGAATTTATTGGGAAAGTTTTAAATATTTTTCTCACAATTTTCAGAAAATCTTGTCCACCATTTAATCTAAAATCTCTGAAAATATCAAGGAAAAATATGCGAAACTTTCTTCCAAATACATTTTATATCAGAGGAATTTTGGGAACATTTGAATGTTCCTAAGGTGTTTTTTTTTTAGTACTGGAGTGTTGCCCAATGGCAGTTGTGATTGGTGAGAGTGGTGAAAAATTAGAAGGAATTAATTATCAAGTGAAAAATATTTATTTTAATCAAGTGACAAGAAGACCCCTTCAGAATTTTAAAAAAATATTAATCACACCCCGGTGTGGCGGCAAGCCACAAAATGGTCAACGGTAAGCAAATTTTGGCAAGCTTTTTGTGCAGTAAACGTATTTGTCATAGAATCTAATCAGAATTTTTTTCTGTTTCTCTCTTTTTCAGGAAAGTGATTCTGATTAGAGTGCAAATTTTTCTTTCTAGAATTTTATAGGAAGAGTCCATGTACCATTTTCTTTGTATTATTTCCAAAAGTGTGAAAATTCCTTTTGTCGTCTTACTTAGTGATATATTTTTTTTACCTTATTATTTTTGTAATTATCTGTCTACAGAATTCTAAGAAGTAATCATTAAATTGATTTATTTGCGTTGTACTCAGAGTTTTCCTCATTTACCAGCTTGAATACCTTTCTTGATAATTTATTAAGCTTGAGGTGCCCTCAACTGTGCCAAGCAAAAAACTGCGAAGTTCTACCCCAGATATTTTGAGCTTTTTTAGACAAAACCATCTCTAAAGAGAAAACCTGCCTATGTTTATTTCAAGATATGCACGTCATAGTCCTCAGTATTAATTTGAAAGAACAAATTACGTAGATGCAACATTTGCATTTTTCTTAGATATTTTGTGCAAAAAAACTCGCAAGATATGAATGTAGAATAGGAAATCGTGGTTGTTGCTTAAGACCGAAGCTCTATTTTACAGCATCTGAGGTCATATCAGCTAGTCAATGAAGCCCTAAAATTTTCTTTAAAAAAACACTTTGCATCATAGTCAGAAACACACTTATGCGTTTACTCAACAACAAGAAAACAAACCAACGTTTTTATGAAATTTTCTGTTAAGCTTCTTCATTCATTCCAAATTATTCAATGAAAATATCAAGGAGTTATTTGGGTCATTTACTTTCAAAAAATAAATCATAAGTAATCGGAGATTCAGCAAAGTGCACCTTATCTTTCGACTCGAGCTATCGATATAGGTGATGCAGGAAATAAATTTGAACTCTGGTAACAATGAACTTTAAAATTTTTTTTCAAAGAAACTGCTGACAATTTTTAGGCGATCCTTAGGTATTAACTGAAAAAAGTAGCTTTAAAAAATTACTATTTTTTTAACAGTTTTTTCAAGCTTTTCAATTGTTAAAAACTTGAGCAGATCTCTCAAGATTTTTAATACTTTTCCAATTTCATTTTAATTTTAGTATGTAAGATTTATAAGGCTCCAAAGCATCTAATGACTGTGAAACACCTGAGATAAGGTTGAACATAAAATTTTAAGGTATCATGATAAGGATTTAAGAATTTTGGGGGTAAAAGAAACAGAAAATTAAATTTCTCTCGTAAATTACCGTAAAATAACTTTAATGGGTTTCCCAAAACTTAAATTTTAAATATTTCAAGTCAAGTCGTCTTTTTAAACTTGCAATTTTTTTACACGTTATTTTAACAGTTGGTGCCATGAAAGAGGTCGAACAATGATTTTGTCAGTGACCACCGATGATTTTTTCTCTCATTTTATTTTTTGCCATGAGAAAAAAAAAATCAACGGAAACCTTAAGTTTTTCTAATGAAATCTCCAGTGGCGGCGCGTGGGCTGAAACTTAAGAGAGGGCAAAATTAGAGAAGACGAGAGGGGGAACGGGGAGTTACCTGCTCCCCAGCCAAGGCGGTCCTATATTGGGGAAATGTCGAAAATAAGGTACCCCTTGAAAGCAATTTTTGGTTGCTTTCACGGTTTTACACAGGTTTTCTTATCTTTTTTTCTTAAATCGTTTGGAT